AAGGTACAAATAATGAAGGATGGAATCTTTTCAATGACTTGGCGAAAGCAGGTTGATTTTGTCCCCGACGTCGAGGAGTTGATTGTGAAATGCTTTTGTTAGTTTATAGATGTTGACTCAGACATTTTGCAGTGTTTTGTGCTGTTACACAAATGTTGACTTAAAGAAGCAGTTTTTATGTTTTTCTTTTTGAGAATAGGTCTGCTGTTGTCCAATCTGATGAAATGAGTCTTTTCACTACTTGATATGAGTTTACTATAAAATCTTAACATTGATTTGGAATTTGTCATTTGTAGAAGCTGCAACGAAATGTCGACATACACCCCTAAGAATATACTCATTACTGGAGCTGCCGGTTTTATTGCATGTCATGTAGCCAACAGGCTTGTCCGGAGCTACCCTGACTACAAGATCGTTGTGCTTGACAAACTTGATTATTGTTCAAACTTGAAGAACCTTATTCCTTCCCGTCCTTCCCCTAATTTCAAGTTTGTTAAGGGGGATATTGCCAGTGCAGATCTTGTTAACTACCTTCTCATCACTGAGTCCATTGACACTATAATGCACTTTGCGGCTCAAACCCACGTTGATAACTCTTTCGGTAATAGCTTTGAGTTCACTAAGAACAACATCTACGGTACCCACGTACTATTAGAGGCCTGCAAAGTTACTGGTCAGATCAGAAGGTTTATTCATGTCAGTACAGATGAGGTTTATGGTGAGACTGATGAGGATGCTGTTGTCGGAAACCACGAAGCCTCACAACTCCTTCCCACTAACCCATATTCGGCCACAAAAGCTGGGGCTGAAATGCTTGTTATGGCTTACGGTAGATCATACGGTTTACCTGTTATAACCACTAGGGGGAACAATGTATATGGTCCTAACCAATTCCCCGAGAAACTAATCCCGAAATTTATACTTTTAGCCATGAGGGGGAAGACTCTTCCTATTCATGGAGATGGTTGTAACGTTCGTAGTTATCTTTACTGTGAGGATGTTGCTGAGGCTTTTGAAGTCATTCTACACAAGGGGGAGGTCGGTCATGTTTATAACATTGGAACTACAAAAGAGAGAAGAGTGATCGATGTTGCCAAAGATATATGCAAACTCTTTAACATGGATCCAGACAAAAGCATTGAGTTTGTTGAGAACAGACCATTTAACGACCAGAGGTACTTTCTGGATGATCAGAAGTTGAAAGAGTTGGGTTGGTCAGAGAGGACCTTGTGGGAAGAGGGTCTGAAAAAGACTATTGAATGGTATACCAAAAACCCCGATTGGTGGGGGGATGTCTCTGGAGCATTGCTTCCTCATCCTAGAATGCTGATGATGCCCGGTGGAATAGAAAGACATTTGGATGGAGCCGAAAAATATGATTCAGGATCTTCTGAATTCTCAGCAAAGTCCAATGAAACCAAAACGGTAGCCCCAGCTCCAAAGAGCAGCGACGTGCCTCAGAAATCCCCTTTTAAGTTTTTGATCTATGGTAGGACTGGGTGGATTGGCGGTTTGCTAGGGAAATTATGTGAGAAACAGGGGATTCCTTATGAATATGGCAAGGGACGTTTGGAGGATCGTTCAAAGCTTTTGGCAGACATTAATGCTGTCAAGCCGACACATGTATTCAATGCTGCTGGTGTTACTGGTAGACCCAATGTTGATTGGTGTGAGAGTCATAAACCAGAAACAATTCGTACAAATGTTGCTGGTACTCTTAACTTGGCAGATGTTTGCAGAGAGCACGGTCTCCTGATGATGAATTTCGCCACTGGTTGCATATTCGAGTATGATGCTAAGCACCCAGAGGGTTCCGGTATTGGGTTCAAGGAGGAAGATACGCCCAATTTCGCTGGTTCTTTCTATTCAAAGACCAAGGCCATGGTAAGAGCACTCCTTACGACTCTGAAACGCAAATACAGCATCATTTTTCTGAATTAGACCTTAATATGTTTTTCCTTTTTTTCCTTCTACTAGGTTGAAGAGCTGTTGAAAGAATATGACAACGTTTGCACACTCAGAGTTCGCATGCCAATATCTTCAGATCTCAACAACCCTCGCAACTTCATTACCAAGATTAGCCGCTACAATAAGGTGGTCAATATTCCTAACAGTATGACCATACTAGACGAGCTTCTTCCGATTTCAATTGAGATGGCAAAGCGTAACCTCACGGGCATATGGAATTTCACAAACCCCGGTGTTGTGAGCCATAATGAGATCTTGGAAATGTACAAGAAATATATCGATCCAGCATTTACTTGGGCCAACTTCACATTGGAAGAGCAGGCCAAGGTAATTGTTGCAGCTCGCAGTAACAACGAGATGGATGCATCAAAGTTGAAGAAAGAGTTCCCTGAGCTGCTACCGATCAAAGAGTCGCTGATCAAGTATGTATTTGAACCAAACAAGAAAACCTCTGCATAAAGAAGTTGTTGATCTCAAGGATTTTGTATGCTATTTCAGCCATTATTCATTTTTGGCACCCAGAATTCTCTTTTGTTTTAGATTATTGTTAGTGACTAGAGTTTCCTCGGTCGTTATTCCTTGTTTTTTTTTGTATGAATTCATAATATTTGTGTTTTGTATGTGAAAGATTTGGATAGGCTGCTCCCTGTATCTGTCGTTAAATCTGATATATGGAATTTTGAACTTTTTCTAGCTCAATCATTTTTTTCCTTTTCGCAAGTGATTGATTTATTGCTTTGTACTTGCATTTAGCGGCAGTAAAATGAAGTAGAACTAAAGGTTTACTGAGTCCAAATCTTGAATAGTCAAGGAGTGCTAGGTTATAACTAGGGGTGTCAATGGATATTCGAAAATCGAACCGTACCGTAATGAACCGATTTTTAGGTTTCTTTAAAAGAAATTGTAGGTTTTTATATAAATCTATAACCGCACCGATAATTAAGGTAGGTTTTTTATTTTATGAAAAAATATCGAACCGTACCGAATAAATTTTTCATGTGAAAAATATATTTATATAGTAAGTTTAAAAATAATAATGTATTAAATTTTTCTTTGGGTCTTGAAATTATGAAAACTGTTGCTAAGCCAACAAGTAATTAAACTCAAAATAATAATTCCTGAAACCTATTATGCTACTTCTACTTAAACTAAGTTATTTCAAGTATCTTCATTAGTAAGATACAAAGTATTCTAGTAATTATGAGTAGCAAACTACAATGTATTGAATATGTTTCCTTTCATATAATTTAGATTTATCTTTTTGAATATTTAATCTTCTATATACTTTATTCTTGAGTCTCAACTTGGTTAATATCTTTCCACTCGTGTGATTAATATATTTTTTTACCTTTGCTTGGTTTCTTTTACGTTGTTGTAGAATAGTTAATGGATCTATACTGTAGCCATCTTTCATTTTTTTTAATTCATCACCCTTTAAACAGTAAAAATGTCTGGAGAGTTTTGCTAAGTCCTACAAAAGAACATATGCTATTGCATTCTACTTCTATTGGTGAATTTTACATGATATTTAAAAAAATACCGAAAACTAACCGAACCGTACCGATACCGAAGAGAAACCAACATGATTGGGACGGTTTCGAAAAGTCTAATTTTGGTTATACAACCGAAAAATTAGTATGGTACAAATTTTATAAAATAGTCGGCTGAACCGAACCATTGACACCCTAGTTATAACCACGAGCGAACTTATAGGCTATAGATTTGAATATGAGTTTAATTGAACACCTTTTTTAACTTGTACTATAAATATATATATATGTAAAAATCCTACGAAATATTATAACCATTTTTTGGACCCATAATTTCAAAGGATCCTAGGTAAAAGATAGGGCAAATAGCCACTATTTATAAATGACAGCTCAGTGCACAAAGTATTCCGTGTTCTACAAGGGTACGGGAAGGGCCGCACTCCCAAGGGTGTGATGTAGACAGTCTACCCTAATGCAAACAAATAACTACTTTTTATACCGCTAATAAAAAGTTAGCCATCATCTCAAAACGAACCAACATTTAGCTACTCCTTAATATAGAAATAAAATTTAGATAAAATTTCCATAAGCTTTTATTAGTGAAACTCTAGTATATTGTGTTGGATAAAGCCGTCAATATGGGTTTAGCCGCTGGGCTAGACTGGGTTGAGTTAAGATTCTTTTAGCCTATTTAAGAATGAGGCTTTTTAGCATGGCTCATGTACGCCTGTGGCTCGTGAGACTTGACCGAGGTTGGGCCGAGGCAGTTTGTGGTCCTAATAAAAAGTATTTCATTGAATATATAAAAATTAAAAGGAAATAGGAAACACAATTATCTCTACTCAGTTTGAGTGATATCAAGTTGAATCTATTTGCAAAAATGTCAAAGGTTATTAAGTTTTTAGAAGTTTCTTTTATCGTTTTCTTGTACCCAAGATATATATGAAAATAGCACGGTCTGGCCAATTTTCGGACCGGTAATTAAAAAATAACCAACGTTTGCAAAGTCATTAAAAAATAGCCACTATTTTGCTGCAACACGAAAAATTCCAGCATAATATACTGGAGATTGGTGCACCTGTGTATGAACTTCCAACATACTATGCTGGAACTCCAACACACGGAAAGTTCCAGCATAATATACTGGAGATTGGAGCACATGTGTATGAACTTCCAGCATATTATGATGGCCCAGTATATTATGCTGGAAGTCCAGTATATTATGCTAGAATATTTTTCAGATTTTGAACAGTGTTTTCATTCAGATTTATCTTTACATTAAAAGTGGCTAAATTTCGATTACTTCCGAAACTGTGGCTATTTTTCAATTACCACTTGAAAATTAAGCTATTTTAGAATTTCACTGCATAGAATGGTTGAGATTTTAGATTGAAAGCATAACAGATAACTTTTAAGACAGTGACACAAAGCTACAAGTAAATCTTTACTTGTATTTACTTGTAGCCGAACTTGAATTGACAATCAGCAAACTTGTACTAAGACCAACAAACCAATAAGAAGACAAATGCAGCTAATTGTATAGAAACCAGTAAAGTAATTCTTCATTTTTAATGCCTGGAATTGGAGCGCGAATAAACCATCTTTACATGGAATATTGAAGTCCCTTTGACCCTTCATACCAAATAACAATTAATTTTCTTACTTGCCTAAAACTTATTAAAAGGGACAGGTCAATTTCTTCCCATCTGAACTTGATCTTCCCTCGACACTCCTCTCCTAAGATAACTTGTGAAAGTTCCAGTTTATGCAGGGGAAAACCCCCAAGGCGGAATAACACATCTTGATTTACAATTGAAGAAAAGGCAAGAAAATCGAAAGAAGTTGATCTTAAAGCAATACAATCATATTTAAGAAGATCTACTCAATATGCACTAAATTGGATATTAAGTTTAAAGTCATCAAAAGAAATCAAACACTTGTGTCCTGATTGAACTATCCTCCAATCACCAAACCTTGCAAAGGGATAAACTCTAAATTAGAAGATCGACACACACAAGAAAGGCTTGGAATAGGAAACAATTTGCGAAGATAAGGAAACATACCACACATGCCCTACTTTGATTCCATAGAAAGTGGCACAGCAGTATAGATGTGAGGTGAGTTGGTTTCTGGTAAAGTACAACCATCCATTAACAATTTAAAAATAAAGCATAAGAATATTAGCACCTAAAACGATAGGCAGAAGAAAATGTAAATCAGATGAAACTACCTTCAGTTTCCACGCGCAACCAGTCCTGACCACAAACCAAGGCTTCTCTAGCAGCTGGATTCAGTGAACTGCGATCTTGGTCAAGCACCTTGCCTCTGTTATTGAATGCCACCTCTGGCCCAAGAGTGGATGCAGGAACTCCCAAGATATCACGTGCCATCATTGATAATGTAGGGTACCTTGGTGTGTGAACTTTCCACCAATTCAATATGCTGAAATCATAATTGCGTGGAAAGACCGGCTCTTCCAAGTATTTCTCAAGATTTGACGTTATGTTGTGGTTTTGTGAAGTTTCATGGAGAAATTTGTCAAAACCCCTAAGTCTGTCCCTTGTACCACTAGAGATACTGGTTAAGCTGCCAGAAGTACCAGCTGTATCTGGATCAAGCGAAGATGAGCCCATAGCATACTCATTTGAAAGCTCCCTTATAGCATCAGATATTTCTTTTATCTGATTTGAGGCATCAGAACCATAAATCTGAGGATAGTAATACTCCACCAACTTCATCTTGAACCTGGGGTCCAATATTGCTGCTATCGCCAAAGTCAAACTGCACTTACTCCAATACTTATCAAACTTTTCTTTCATCTTCAGCGCTATATCGCTAAGAAAATTATCAGGATTTTTACACCAATCAATCAACTGGATGTGAATATCACATATTTCAGGGAAATATAGATTCGCAGTTGAACATTTATTTGCCGTGAAAACATTAGTAACTTCAACAAAAAGTTTTATATAGCCCGCAATAGCACTAGCATGATCCCACTCTATTTCAGACAAAGCGAAAGTGTAGGAAGGGTCGTGCTCTTCTAGTAGACAGAAGGCTCCCCTATAATCTAAGGCAGCTTCAAGCATCAAGTATGTTGAACTCCACTGCTGTCCACAGTCAAGAATCAAAGGCCTTTCACCACTAATCGCAACTTGCTGAGCAATCTCATTGAATTTTCCTAGGGCTAATTGTGAACTCTTAACATGCCTTATGCTTTCTCGAACCTTGTGGATCACATCTCGAAGTGCTTCCATGAAATCANCATCAAAAACGATTGATTTCAGTAGCTGCACTGCACAACGGACGTCAAACAATTCACCATTCTTTAAAAGAGGCCTGTTTTGAGAAAGCCAGTCCTTGATTCTAAAAATCATCTCATCATAGCCCGTACAATGATCGAAAGTCATAGAAAACAACTTACGATCAATGGCCCAGTCTGTCAAACTTTTTATAACAACTTCTGAAAGTATGTCATCTGTGTGAGAAGGATCCAGTGTTATGAAATTCAGCATTTTCTTCTGCAGTTTCCAGTCTTCATCAATGTAAAAAGCAGTTAAACACAGATACCGTGCATTTTCAGATGAAGTCCAGATATCAGCAGAGAGAGTAATTCTTCCATGCAAGTTATGGATCGCCTCATACACCTTCTGTTTCTCTTTTGCATAAATTGTCATACAGTCAAGTTCAACAGCACTGTTAGTCAAAGTCTCAAATAATGGCTGTAAGTTCTTGACAAATATTTTGAATCCAACATGGTCAACCATGGCTAAAGGATAACCATGTAACATAATCATACGGGCAAGATCCAGACGGCTCCGCTCTTGATCAAATCTAACACTGCCAAGGTTGATAGGCATGGTAGCTTCCTCTTTCTTTACTTCTTGATCAAACTTAAAGGTCACAGGGTTAACGGTTTCTTCTTTCCTTTGCCCTTCTTCATAAGTGACAACTGCAACAGTAGTTTCTTTTCTCTTTCTCTTTGCTGCAAGTATTTGGGAAACATCATAGTTGGATCTTTTTAGACACCGCAACAAATGATTCCTCAGATGAGTTGTTCCACTGTTACTCGATCCACTAAGCTTCTTTTTACAATGTACACAAACAGCATAACAGATATCTGCCTTTCTAACTCTTTCAAAATGGTTCCACACAACGGATGTCAACCTCTTTGGTTTCTTTGCTGGGGTCTCAACTGGAATTTCCATGGCATGGATGAAGCTAATTAACCAATCTGTTTTCACTGAAATGGTTTGGTCTAAACGCTGTTAAATGACAAAATAACAGTAACCAAGTTTCTGATCAGGATCTTTTTTGTTTTATCAGAACAACAGCAACCAAGTAAAATGCAATGGCAGAACTTTAAGGAAGTCAAAAAGGTTTGTACTTCAAAATCATTAACCAAATCCAGCATATGAAGAAAGGAAAAAGATGTAAACTCAAATTTTGAGCCTCATAATACTATCCTAATCATTGTAGACATGCTGTAGATCTTCATCTTGTTATTAAAAAAAAAAAAGACATTACTTTAAATGTTATGTACTCAATCTTGAAAAAGACAACCAGCCTAATACTCATCACAACTCTTTCAACTGGAGTCAGTTTGTCTATCTGATTTATGCTCTCTCTCTCTCTCTCAATTTATCTGATTATGATCTTTTTCTTGTGCGTGGATATAATAACTCATATCTTTTGGAAGGAACATTCGTTTTCATAATGAAACAAAAAATATTGAGAGCAAAATAATGGTAAGTATCCTATACAAGCGCCAAAGAAGGATATACTTGATTGACACCGAAGCACCGATTGTACAGTTCAAGTATCCATAACCCACGCACAAACAACTCATGAAGTCAAAAGCACTAAATATGCAAGTTCTTTTGCAGCCTAAGCTCTAATATAAAGAAGCCAAAGACGAGAAGAAAAAAAGAGGAAAAAAAAAAAAGAAATCTCATGTTTATTGGGCTGAAAACGGGTCTGATAGAAGTGGCATTCCCCTAAAGAGCATCGGTAGGGGCTTGCAACATAGACTCAACGGGTTCAGCTGAACCAATTTCTTTTTACCCAGAGCATAGATAATATAAAAAATCACTAAAATTCAACAAATATTAAGTTCTGAACCACTAAATCTAAAGGTGCAATGGATTCAGTGGTCAGGACATAATAAAGGTTGAACCAATCAAGTTTAAATCTTGGATCCGCCTCTGGACCGTACATTGTTCACAAAATTCACAACAATGTTGATCCACGATACTCGCAGCAGTGACTTTATACTGACCAAAGTATATGCATATACTCACATATTTAAGTTCATAACTAGAGCCATTTACAACATCCAAATGATCCAAATTCCCAATCAAATCAAATTTTAAAAAAAAATTGTAAAAACCAATTTAAATAAGCACAAAGCCACACAATAAGACATTAAAAACCCAACTTTGCCTAAAAAGTCAATCGAATTAATACAGTAAATCACCTACACCTCAATCCCAAACTAATTGGGATCGGCTATAAAAATCCTCTACATCCATTCCACTTATTCGGCCCCAGTAAAAAATGCACAAAAAATCTATTTTTTGTGAAGAGTGAAAATTAAACGAGATTTTCAAATTGAGCTCAAATTGATTTACTTGAGACGGATTCGGGTTGAAATGCGAACCTATAAAGTGGAGAGCTTTTCGTTGACGTTGTTCAGAGAGAGATCCGATCAGAAGATCCGATAGAAAACAGGGTTAGGGTTTGGATTGGATTAGAACGGAGAAGAGAATACGAACCGGATGTTGAGACCGGGAACCGGGAAGATCCGGTAAGAATGGCCCGGTTGCGTGATTTGGGATTTGGGTGGTTCACACATTTGTGAAGTCCGTTTTGAGAGTGAGCAGAAATTTGGGTCGGGTCAGGTTGGTTTAAGGGTAGGTGTGTTTAGGTAAAATAGATCTTCTCTGCTTATTTTTATTTTTGAGATATTTTTCATTAAATTTCTGGATTTTATTGCTATAACAAATATTAGTCTTGTAACTTGATAGTAATTCTTGACTACGATTTGGTTAACCTAATATTAGTATTAGAAGATTACTACGAATAATAATTCTTCAAAACTAGAGTTTAAAAATTAGAAAGTTTTTTCTTTTAGTAAATCACATGAAGATTTTAAAATAATAGAATATTGTGGAACTTGAATTGAAAAGTTCAATAAAATATTAAAATGAAAAAAAATTAAAGTGTGACCTTATTTAGTGTTAAATTATAAGTTACAATCAAACAAATCAAGAGTTAAAAAAATATTGAAATCAATTGATAATTAATATGTGCGTAACAAACTCGTCAACAAATTATGTACTCAAAACAACAAGGAGCTTACGGAGAGCGCCCTCTTACAACCCAAGGGGATTAGATTAAGATTTACATTGAATCGACTAGTATAAAAATATCGTTGTGTCATTATTATTTTTTTGCACTTTAAATTTTGCACATTTATCTAAGGTTCAGTTGACTAGATTGGTAAAATAATCAGACTAGAAAAGCATAAAATTAAAAAGGACTACAATTCATCCCTCCCCCTCTGTACTTTCAATAATGGTGTGATTTTGCGCAAATTGTGTAGACCTATTATCACAACTCAACCTATATATGGGTTCGAATATGGAACCGGAGAAGTTCTGTAGTTTTACTTCTTATCCTAAATTGATGATTATTGTACAATATTTCTCATGGTGCTATCTTCTACAAACGTGTGCATGTTGTTTTTCTTTAAATATTATTTACACGTATTTAATGAATGTTTTTGGCGAAGGAGCGTCAGATGACACTCTTTATAGAAGTATATCTCTGCACTACTCAAAAAAAGATAAAATCTTCTTATACAGGAGAGGGAAGCCACCTTGCCATAACAACAACAACAACAACAATAACAAACCTTTCCCCTACCTAGCGTATTCTACAAGTAGGGTATGAGGGTATTGTGTACGCATACCTTACGCCTACTTTACTTTAGTAAAGATAGAGAGGTTGTTTGCGATAGATCTTTAGAATCACCTTAGCCATAAGTTTTCATTTATATATGAGAGAGATTTGGTAAGAAAAGAAGAATACACTAGCTTCAAAAACTATTTCTGGAGCAAGATTGTGTACAATAGTTCATTCCAAGCATCTGTAACTCCAGCTACACACCAGTGACTGCAATCGGTTTCGCCATTGGCATATCTTGATGGATGTCCATCTTTTCGCAGTTGTGTAAGCAGTGTAATATCAAGTAAATAGACAGGTTTTGTCATGTTACTTAGTACATTCTTCACCACTGCCTCTCCTAGATATCTGTCACCTGGATAATTTGACCCCTCTATTGGCTTTGTTTGTCCTCTGCAGTCCTGCACCATTGGTTCATCCCAATCCTTGCCACTGAAAGGAGGAAACAGTAACCAAGTTGAATTAACTGGTCTAGATTAAGTTTTACAAAGTAAGCATACTAAATGGAGAGGTTAATTTCAATTATGGCCACTGAACTAATGTGCGTCACGCGATCCTACTGTGTTTTTTTGCATGTGACTAGGTGGACAGTTAATCGGAAGGGGCAGCCCGATGCACTAAGCTCCTGCTATGTGCGAGGTCTGAGGAAGGGCCGGACTATAAGGGTCTATTGTACGCAGTTTTACCCTGCATTTCTGCAAGAGGTTGCCTCTATGGCCCGTGACCTCCTGGTCATATGGCAGTAACTTTACCAGTTACGCCAAGGCTCCCCTTCATAATTAACCGGAAGCTAACTTCAATTTATCCTGTAAAGCACAATATCTGTGGTCACATTAATGTAACTGAATTTTACCAACTATAACAATAAACTCGCAAAACTATTTTTTGTCATATTAAAGTAGCTTACTTTATCCACTATAGCAGTTAAGTTATTAAACAAGACGCACTATACCAACAAAGCCTACATATCAAGGTGACTTTACTGTAATAATAGGTACTCCTTCCGTTTCAATTTAGATGAGTTAGTTTGACTCGACACGGAGTTTAAGAAAAATAAAAAGAAAGACTTTTGAAACTTGTGGTCTTAAGAGCTTAAGGGGTAAAAGCTTTGTGGGGTCATGACATTTGTATAGTTATAAAAGTTTCTCATTAAGGGTAAAATAGATAAAATGAAGAGTTTAAAGTTGAATTATTTCCAATTGTAGAATGTGTCATTCTTTTTGGAACGGACTAATAAGAAAAGTGTGTCATCTAAATTGAAACACAGGGACTAATATTTTGTGACTTTACTATTATAATGAGTAGAGTTCAGCTACTTAATGTGACAAAAAATAATTATAGCGTAGGGAGTACTGCAATATTATGGATCCAAACAAAGCATTTATGATATCGAGGTTCCTACATCCAACCGCAAGTAGCTTAGGGTTGAGGCATAGTAGTTGTTGAAGTACCACTGTTATAGTGCATAATGTTCAGTTAATTTAATGTGACGAAAATAGTCAAGTGACTTTACTGTTATAAGTGTTCATACTTGCAAGTAACTCTAACCGATGGTTCGTCGAGATTAAAATGTTTAGGGGGGAAGAAGAAAATCTGTCTGATAACTTACTGATAATGAACAGCAGAAATTCCTTGGAAAAACACTTTAGTCACAGCAGGATCAATGTTGGAATCAACCCAATTGGCCCAAGTAGTCAAAGCAATCTTGTATGCTTCCATATGGTCCATCTCCTTGTAGATTTTGTCACCAACTTGAAAATAGTCCCATCTGCAAGAAAATCAAGAAAATGTGATTTTTTTTTCTTGCAATTAGAAATAATGAAGTCTGGTTTTCTATTATGTTGATGAAGAAGCGCACGTTTGTAGGCTGCCGGTATGTATCCACCAATGGTAGCTGTTGAAGATTAAGAAATCGACTCCTTTCCACTGGTCGCTCCTGCTGAGAGAGTCGAGCTTGAGAACTCGGCCTGCTTCCTCGATCACTAGGTCAACGAGAAATCCATTTTTCAAGAATGTGACTGTGAACTCAAACTCCTTCCAAATGCACCAAAAAGAGCATGAGAAAGAAAAGAAGGATACATTTTAAAAGTTAAAGAAAGTTGCAGAACAAGGAGATGCTATAGGTATAGAATCAAGTCAGAATTTGATGCTTCATTTGATCATGACAGACCATTCTACATTGGCTAAGAATTCAAAGAATGATGGCATTTTAACATTTCAGCATTAGCCATAACCATTAAATATGCAAGCATGCCAGAATTGAGGATCAATCACATATCGAGTCACTTCCAAATTCCAGTCTTTCCGTTACATGAACAGAGTAAACAACTCGTGTTAGACATTCATAATAAGTTCTGGTATGCATTTTGTACTGAGTTGAAGATGAATAGCATGTCCAAATGCGGCCAGCATTTGTCTTGAGGCTTAGTAGGACGCTAACAATTGGCTTCCGAGCAGGATTCATGATCATTAGCTATTAACACGATAGATCTGAAAACATGCTAGTTTTATGAGAAAGAGGGGTTGTATCATTTAAATCACAACAAAATGCAGTAATTTACACTTATTTTTTAAAGCTTTCGTCAACAACAAACCCAATATAATCCCACAAGTGGAGTCTGGGGAGGGTAGTGCGTACGCAGCCTTAACCTACCTTGAGAAGATGGAAAGGTTGTTTTCGCTAGACCCTCGGCACAAGGAAAGTTTTGAAAGCTTTCATCGTAACATGAAAATGAAACAATTGATTTTTCCGTCATGAACTTTAACCTGTCAAATAATTGACTCACCGGGAATGAGAGAACGGAACGATTTCTTGTTCTGTCAAATGTGTAATTAGAATTCGGAACTGCAGCGTGAAGCATGCAAGCTAGTGATTGCCACTGGTTATTGCTCAAGGAATCACCCACAAACATGAAACTTTTGCCTCTGAATTTTTGCAGAAGATCTTCGCCATTGAACCTATGCATTAATCCAAAATAATTCATCTTAAAACAAGTCTTCAATCATAATAAATTAGTAATCGAAATGGCAAACTATAGATACTCATTTTGAAGCAGAAAAAAATTCCTTTTTTATCATAAATAACAACAATTACCACTACGCCTCATTCCCAAGCAAGTTGGGGTTGGCCAGATGAATCCTCACTGACCATGTTACTGCACTTAAGCTCATTATAATCGAATATTTAAAAAAATAAAAAAATAAAAGTAAGAGTACTAAAAGTTTACTGGCATATATATCTCTCGGACTAAAAAACTCCTAGAAAACATAGGAATTTTTCTTTAACAAGGGAGACCTATGTAACAAAGCATAATCAATTCCAATACCAGAATAAAATATTAGATTGCAGTAGATTGACAGTTAGGTAATACTAGTCAGACCGTGAAAAAACTCTTTAAATACTAAACAACCTAAATTAAATAGCAAAATCTGATTAAATTAGGATTTAGCTGAACGATTGATAGAAGAGGAAGGGTGCATTATACAAACACATAAAAAATAAAAATAAAAAATAAAAAAGAGGATAATTAACATATCCCAATTCTCAGACGTCATAAAATATCGATAACAACTAGTATTAAATATTAATTATGGTTAAGGATCATTTTATGTAGCATCTTTTTATTATTAATCCTTTCTAAAAAAATATATATTTTTGTATTTAGAAATAATTTAAATGTAACTCATACCCCACGGTGTGGATAATAGTGGGTATGTTGTTGTTGTAAATAATTTAAATGTAAATTTCTCATTTTACCTTAGGATGTGTTTGGTACGAAGCAAAACCCAAAAATAACCAAACACGAAAAATATTTTTCTTGATAAATTATTTTTCATTTGAGAAGGGATAAACAACTTGCTTTGCTTATGTTTTTCTCCAATAGTCTATTCGAAGTAGTTTCTACATTTTAGAGTCTTGAATAATGAGACAAACTTTTTTTTCCTCTGAACAATATTTTCCTTTAATATCAAATAGTACACTTAAGGGTTATTTGATTGACAATATAAATTTATTACAGATTTATAATTCTGAGATAATTTAGTCCGCGTACCAAACGACCTCTCAATGGCATGCTATTATAGCCACAAAAATATCCTAGCTGATTTAAAATCACAAGTTCCATATCCGTGCATTAAAATTGGAACATATGAATAACAATTGTTAATCCACAGCGAAACTGAACAGCCTATGTACCTTCACATATTAGGTGTAAGGTATGCATACACACTATCATTTACAGATTTCACTACTGAGATTATACTATGTATGTAATAGTGGCGGAGGTAGAGTGTCGGGACCGGGTTCGGCAGAACCCAGTAACTTTTGATTCAAATCATGTGTTTGTCTTATAAAATCCATTGAATATGTATAAATGATTAATTTAGAACCCAACAACTTTTAACGATTAGAATCCCGAACTCATAAGCTTGAACTGACTCCGCCTATATGTATTATGCTATTATTATTGTTGTAATCCAGAGTGAAACTGAATTTAGCTGGAAAAGAGAAGCCATTGATGTTACCTGGACAGGTCACAGTCTGTGGGCTGCCATCTGTACTTGAGGAAATCTTGATCGATTCTGCCATTTTTGAGGCAATTGAGACCTGGGTCTATGAATGGACACTGCAATGAATCATAAAGTGGATAAAAGTCGTCAAAAATCCAGCTTCCTTCAAACAAATTACAGCTTGTCAATTGTTGGTGTTCATAAGATAATGTTATTAGAGGAAAAAATACAAGAATAAAGTTTAAGCTCAGACAAGAAAACCAGCAGCTACAGCTGGTTCTTGTTTTAGCAGACATGGAGAAAGAAGTTACAACGCAAAAGCTAACAAATGGTGAGCTCTCAATGAGAAAAACGAAAAAGATTTACCTTTTATAAACAAAAATATTTACACAATCACATCAATTATTAGGTAAAAAAAAATAAAAGACAGTCTGATGCACAAAGCATTCTGCATTTACGCAAGATTCATGGAAGGGCCGCAGTTATTAGGTTAAAAAAAAAAGGCAGTCTGATGCACAAAGTATCTCACATTTACGCAGGATCTGAGGAAGGGACACATCTCTAGAGGTGTGATATAGACAGTCTACTGTAATGCAAGCATTCATGGCTGATTTTACGGCGCGAACTCGTGACCTATAGGTCACACGAACACAACTTTATCGTTGCTCCAGAGCTCCCCTTCATTAGTTATTTGGTAATGATAGATAAGTTTTTGTAATAAACATTGTATTACCTAATAAAATGGCAATTAATCTACTATTATACATTAAATTACATTGACAATGTAAAAGCCTTTAGTTATCGATGTATATAACTTAAATTCAAATACATAAATAGTGTAATAGAATTCATACTTTTAACATATATAACTTAACATGTTATAAAAGGTTATCTATAGAAATAGATTCAGAATTTGAAATTTTTATGAGCTTTTACGGCGACTTCAAGCTGGATTTACTATCAAATATTTATAAATATTTTAATGGATTTTGTAATACAACAGCATTCTTATATAACAGTGATTCATTATTAAAGCTAAATTTTTCTCGGAACTGATTCTTATGTTATGTTATAATATATATTCTCTATAACATTATTCAACTATAGCAGCCAAAAAAATATTCTAACAAATAAAGTTGTTATAGAGAGGTTTGAGTGTACAAATATAAAATCTAGGCAAAAGCTAATATGTTCAGGTGAATCCATAAGTAATAAGCTACATCCTTCTCTAAGTTATTGATTTTCTTCTTCAGATAACTAATTATATTACTATGCACAATTATTTATAATTGTCTTTTAAATAATCTGTTTATGCAAAAGAAGTTTATACGATTAGTGTAAGAAAATTAAACAGGAAAAAGAATGTGTTGTTTGTTAATGAATATATGTCTAGATTGGTGTGGTTAGTTAGTTGTCAGTTGTCACTAGTAATTAAATTAGTGGGATTTTGGATTACAGTCTAAGAGCTTCTTTGGCCAAGCTTATTAAATGTCAAAAATATATTATTTTTTTTTAAAACAAGTACTTTTTAAAAAAGTGCTTTTGAACGGCACTAAAAGCATTTTTTCTGATTTTCGATAGAAACTACAAATTCTCACTTCTGTCAAGAAGTAAAAGGAGAGATAGAAAATTAATTTATTCAAGATAAAAGTAACCTTACTTAAATTTATATTTTTCAAATTATTCTTCATTAATTTAATTTTTTTTTCCTTTTCCTTTTTATTTCTACCATACATTTCTTCTCTTTTTTATTTCAATCATATTTTTATTCTCTGTCTCCTATTCATAAAATTAGATTATTAATTTATATTGAATAATATATTTTGATATATTTAAATTATCATGTAAATAATAAGTAATACTATATACTCAATGTTATTGCTTTGGAATAACATATTTTATATTGATTAGAATTTTTAATTATATTTTTACTTTATGTTTTATATTTTAATTAATTCTTTTATAAGAATTTAATTTATTTTTTAATATTACTAATTACAAATTGAACCTTTAATGTTATTTTTTATAATTTGATACTTAAAAATATTTTTTGGAAAGATTGACCAAACATAACGAGCTTGCAAAACGTACTGTTCAAATAAATTGGTCAAATACAAACTTTTATTTTACAAAAGTACTTTGTTAAAAAATACTTTTAAACAAAAGTATTTTTCAAAATAAGTAATTTTTTGCGCCTTCGCCAAACGGGCTCTAAAGCGCACTTAGTAAAAGTAAACCACTCAATCTTCGAAAGATGTCAGTACAACATTCTTTTTTGAGTGAGTGCTACATTTCGGACAAAATTTTCTCAAACTTCTCACGTGTTTCACTACTTTCGGCGAATTAAAACAGAAAGGCCAAAAGAGTTCCTCAATATTAACGACAGAATCTTTTAATATAGTACCATCATAAAAATAGGATAAAATAACGAAAAGTGCAAACTTCGTTGTAAAATTTTCTTACAAATTACTTTTTCCGCTTTATTTTACTTGTCCAATATTCTAAAAAAATAAAATTTACTTTTACTTATCACTTTTAGCATATCAAAAGAAATTAATTTTTTTTTTGTTATACCTACAATATTAATTACTCATTTCAAATAAGATTCTCAAATCCACTAAAAATATACATCAATTAATATGGGTATCATGATAAATTATGCACTTCGGTTATTATTTCTTAAGGGGTGTGAAAAATTTATGATATCGAAGTGCATTTTTTTGGAACTACCATTTAGAAATTAAAAAATTACTCATTGTTATACCTAGATGTGAAAGACATCTACTGTTCAAAACTCTCTCGATAAGAAGCTTTCTTTTGATCCCGGTTAATCTCGTCTTCTTGTAGAATTACGCTTTCCAGAGTTGGAATCTTCTAGTTCTTACTATCTGACCCATCACAATAGCCGTACAGTCAAATAGTTGAGTTAGACGGGGGATAATGGTCGAACTATCAAAGAGGTCCGCTACCAAAGAATTAGGAGTTATAACATTCATAAAAGAAAGAAAAAACTCCATACTGAGGGTGCACCTTGAACCTTTAGAATTCAATCACCGGCGGAATGCGCTTGAAACCAATTCACTTGAGTGAGACAGAGGAGAGTGGAAAGGATAATGGTAACCCTACCATTAACTACTTCATTTGTGAATTTCATAGTAATAACGCCCTTGTTGATGATCATTTACTCTGACAACATCTAGGGTTCATAGAAGCAATAACCATAAATGGACCCCAACAATTAGGCAATATTCAAGTACCTAATCCTCTTTGAGTGAAGAAGAGATGGCCTTTGTATAGACACTCCTGAGTTATATTCGTCGTCCTAGGCTTACCATTATTTCCCTGGTGGCTAAAATCATCTCAAAGTGAACGGAGTAGGGGTGCTTATCGGGCGGATTGGACGGATAATTACGCTTAACGGTTCAGCTTATCGGTTATCGGATTATAAATGTAATAAAATCCGCTAGTCATTCAATAAGATAACAGACGGATTGGTATCAGATTAACGATTATCAGACAGTTTATCGGCTAAACCAAATAAAATTTTTTTGAACAATCCTAATCTTGTGAACACCAAACGGCCAATCTACATAGTTCACTATCTGAATAAAAATATAGGTAGAATCTGAAACTCTTGAACACCACTAGAAAGATGTGGGGCTTACTCGTGAAGGCTAAATTTGCTGCTAAAACTTCAATTGTAGGGTCATCTTTGCTATAACATTGAAAAGAAACAATAAAATGGAAATGAGTATGTCTATCAACTTATTAAGTGATAACCGAAAACTTGAAGGCATTTTTAAATTTTATTTTCTGATAATACTCTGGTAGCTTATGTTGATCCCATTTCTAAAAACAATTCATAGAGGTCATGACTTTCTCTAGAAGAAATCAACTACGTAACGAAGATACATATTGTCATGCATAAGGAAGTAAAAGTATAAATATAAAAATTCTTAACGGGTTAACAGTTTATCCGTTAAAAATATTGAGTAATCCGCCCCCAAACTGTTAAGTTATTAATTATAAGATCTCAATCCGTTCACCATCCATTATCCCGATAACCCGATATCAATAAACCAATAATCCAACGGTTCGGTTCGGTTAACGGTTACAGTTCGACTTTGAACAGCTCTAAAACGGAGAGAGTATTTTTAAAAAATAAATATAATTATCTATAATAAGTAAAATTAATAATCTGAAAAATAATATAAAATTTACACAAGCAATCAACGGCAGAGTTAAGTTTAGCTCTATTCCCTTTAGTCGGAAAATTGTAATGCACGCAATATAGGCCAAAAATGAAACTTTTTCATTGTATATATTGTTGTTAATTCTCTCAATATATATTCTAATTTAACAGTAAAGGTGATTCAAAAATTACTTTATGATACTGAATTAAATCTCGGATATGACATTCTTGTTTTTTTTTTTCATGTATTTTAAATTTTGGCTCCACCATAGTTATTTAATGTATATTTTCGTTATTCTTTTCATATTTCGTTTTCCTCGATTGAAACAAGATTAGTCGCACCTAGGGAAACTCGTGCTAATTCTAAACCTCTCTAATTATGACTATCACTACTGAAGAGGAACGGCAATGAAGCTCGAAATTTCCAAATTCATTACTAATTGTGATAACCTAATATGATATTTCTTCCGTATCAAATTATCTGTCGTGTATCTCTTTTACACGCTCCTTAAGAAATATTAATTATAAAGGATTTTAGACTATTTTACTCTTATTTATGTCTTAAGATATGATCTTTTTTCATTAAATATTTATTCTATTTTTGTGTTATCTCCATTTTCAAAAAAAATTATTATATTAAGGTAAAATGGGAAAAATATAATTTATTTTGTCTTGAACTTCTAAAATGACAAATAATTTGAGACAACTATTTTTAGAAATTACGACAGATACATTGAGATGGAGGAGTATATAATCACATTAATTTACCATTTAACCATGATAAACTGATGTGTTTACGTGTAAACACGGAGCGTGAATAAATTTGAGATGTCAAATACAGAAGATTTTATATATATATATATNAAAAAAAACAGCATGTCCGGTTATTGTTCCGGGCTGGTAAGTGGGCTGGATAAATGGGTTGGTAACGAGTTGGGAAATTCCGGTCTAATTAGGGCCCGTTCGGGTTCGGGCTTAACGGGTCTGGACTAGGCCGAGTTACTTATTTTATTTTATTTTTTTAGTATATTTTATTTTTCTTATTCAATGCTATTGATACTTAAGTGTTTGCAAACTTTTAAGGCTTAGAATTAAACTTTAAACTTTAAAGTTTAAAGTTTTAAATTTGAAAT